CTTGGTCCTGTCCTTAGCAGTTAGTGTTTTGAAACTGAGGGCCAGATGATGCAATAAATCCCGAGGAGAAAAAATAAAATAAAAAGAAAGAAAGAAAAAAAAAAAAGAAAACGTGCTGGACATGTGTGCCTGAAATTCCAACAGGATGGAGAAATGAAGGGGAATGGAGTTTCAGCTTGATTATAACTTATGTGGGGGTGCTTTCTTCCTCCATCTCTCTGCCTCTCTGTCTCTGCTGATTGTACATATCCTCTGAAAACTAATAAAAATAAAATTGGTTCACTTCTCCTCATACTTTGAGAGTTGTCTGTTCAGGCTGAGTGCTCATTTTTGTTTGGATTTTTAGTGTTATTTTGTTTAGCTTTTGGTGAGCACTTTGAGTTCTTTATATACTGATTGTCAATCTTATCTGAAGCAAAGTTTGCAAAGATTTTTCTTATTCTGTAGATTGTCTTTTTATTTTATTTATTGTTTCCTATGCGGTGTAGAAGCATTTTAGCTGGGTGTAATTCCATTTATCTAGGTGTAATTCCATTTATCTATTATTGATATTATTATCTTTGCTTTAAGGTATTCAAGGAATCTTCCCTCATCTAATATTTTGAAATATCTCTTGGACTTTCCTCCACTAGATTTGTGATCTGGGCCTTTATAATTAAGTCTTTTTTTTTGTTTGTTTATGTGGAACAAGAATTTATTAAAAGAGAAAAAATACACACACACACACACACACACACACACTTACCTTAACACATACACACATTATGTTTGCACATTTGGAATAAAATAACACCAATTTTGTCCTATAGAAATAAGAAATAAAATTTACTTATCTACATGATAATAATTTACAAATTTTCATTTTTTTCTTGATGCATAAAACCGTTAAATTTTGGGAACCAGCAGTTAGCGTAATGGCTATGTTGCTGGGCTCCCACGTAGTCGACCGCGGTTCGCATCCCGGACCTGGTGACTTAAAACTCATGCCAGGCGCGTGTGCGTGCGTGCCCAAGATCTCAAGAGGAGAATGGAAGAGAAGGGATTGTGGCGTGACTATCCTCCCTGGGGGGTGATTTCTCGCTTTCTGTCTCTATGTCTCTCTGTCTGTCTGGTGAGCGCACATGCCCTATAGCGAAAACCTCTCAAAAAAAAAAAACCGTTAAATTTTTTCTATTAAAATTAAATCAAATTAATACGGATAGACTCTACTCACTGTATGCATTTTGTATATAATTAGTACTATTTAGACTTCCTGAATAATTACTGAGACAAATTTTGGGAAGTTCTCCATTCTTCACTTGTTCCCACCAATCTATTGGGTTGTTGAGAAAGTCATGATCCATTTTTGCATAGAAAAACATAGAGTGAATCTGTAAGGCCTCAGAAACAGGGAAGCTATTGATACAATCCTCAGTATAAGTTTGAATGCCTGAGAACTCAAGGGTCTACTAGTGTGATTCCTAAAGTACAAAGGCATGTGAGCTTTGAGTTTTGATGTTCAATGTAATAATAATAAAAAAAGACTACCCTGCTCTCTCAAAGGATACCAGTCCACCTCCTGTTTTTCTTTTCTTTCTCTGAGTCCCTTTTTGATTGGATGGTGCCTGCACACACTGACAGTTGATTTTCGTCATCTAATTTACTTAGACTCACATGCTAATCTCCTTTGGAAACAGTCCCATAGACTCACCCAGAATAACACTTTAATAGGTTTCGAGGTATTCCTTAGTCCAGTTATGTTGATATGAAATACTAATCATTCCATTTCCCATGAACAATTAACTACCAAATGCCATATACCACCCTACATATAGTTCAGACATAGATTATGTCCATCTTCTCTACCGAAATTTAGTGAATTCAACTATTGCTCCATTTTCTCTGCCTTCAAATTTATCCACATTCAACTCAGCGAACAGGTGACCTTTTTTAGTCACATATTTGTCATTTCTCTCTGTCTCCCTGTTGCTGGTCAAGTAGGTCCAGCTGCTTCTTGTAGTTAATGAACTAAGAGGCAGAGGCTAGAGAAGAAGAGTTTATTTCTGTAACCAGTCACAGAGTGACAAAGCAAGCACAATCAAACTGCCTCCAAAAGCACAACATTTTCTTGGAATTTATAGGTACAAGACCATAGCAGATGCAAATCATTTTCCCTTGCTACAGTCATTCAAAGCCAATTGCTCTCCCCTGAGTAACTATCCTGATTCCTGTTTTACTTCAAATGCCCATTCCGTGTTTCTCACCTGACTATTCCTCAAACAGACCTCACTATGACTCAGCACTTAATCAGATTGTTCTTGTCAAAGGCCTTATTTTCAAAATGGCTGCAGTCCTGCTCAATCTCAAACTGCTTCAATCCCCGCTGTCAAATATATCTATGATTGTGACCATAGTTTTATTTTATTATGAAAAAACTAGAAAACTACTCCTTGATCACTTTTTATCTTATGAAATAATTAGGTCATCAGCTTTAGTATATTTAGAACACAGCACAAGGAATCTTTCGGATATCAGCTAACCAAGCAGTGACATCAATAGAGTAAGTACCAATTTTCTTACTTCCATATCTTCTTAGGCCATTTAAGAGCTAGAAAAATATGTGAAAAAAAATTATCAGCTGCTTCCTTTAGCAATGGGGTAGGTTGATCTAGAGTGGCCTGAAGCCAGGTAGCATGCTGTGCAATTTTTTTAACACTTATTTCTACTTGAGAAGATTTATATAAAGGAAAAAACCAGGAAGTATTAGTGGTCATAAAAACACCACCTTGCCATTCTATCGCATATTACTATGTTTGCTAGAGAATCTAAAGACAACCACAAATTTCTTACAGACTTGGTAGTTTCATTAGCCATAACTGAGTCTTAACACATGTTGGTGGGCAGCAACTTTCCACCAAGGTAATGGAGCATAACCACAGAAATATCCATCCTAACCAGATATGCACCTCATAACTCTCTCTAAGTCTAGTGAAAAGTTTCATAGTATTGGTCCAGTGCTCAGTCTCAGGGGA